GAGATCAACTCTGGTCCTAGAAGATAAAAGCAACTGAAGCAGAGAAAAGCTGCTAGCATTACTTGGCAACCTTAGCATTTCTCAGGAATAAATATTATCCAGTAAAAAATAAAAACTAAAAAAACCCACAAAACCAAAAACAAAACAAAACACCAACCCTCAGTCTCAGATCCTGAGCTGGTTTTAAGACAAACAGGAACAACATATACAGATCTACACAGCATCTTAGCGCTCAGATAACCTTGTCAGTCCACATGCAGTATTCCTGAAATCTAGTTAACCACTTCGAGGAGATTTTGGGTAAGAGACAGACACAAGATTAGCTACTTAAAAGATTTCCATTTTATCTTTATCAGGCTTCTTAGAAGTGCTATTCTTGTAATGCTCATTAACTTGCAGGATATTAAATAGCTGCTCACATATACAACTACAGGTATTCATTAGCCACCCAACAGCTGCATTCCTGAAAGAGTAAAAAAAAAAAAAAAAAAGTTAGACCAGCCTGAGTTTCAGATGCAGACTTCCTCTCACTCTCCAGTAACTGTATTTAAAAAGTCAGCTACTCCTGATATTCATAAACCTGAATATGCAAACAAATTAAAAAGCCTACAATTTTAAAATTAAGCTTTTAAATATGGGTCTTATTTTTTAATTATGCAGTTTACCCAAGCAGAATAGATGCTGCCATTCACTTATCTAACCAATTAGCATTTCTAAAGAATGTACTTTATTTGTTTGCACTCATCTGTTATCTAAGCTGTAATTTTTGCTTCTCAGGCAACAAATGGCTGTCTTGCATCTGGGGAATACAACACACACAAGGGTGGTGGTGAACTGTTTGAATACACGCAATTACTGGTAGTTACATTCTAATTAGCATAATTAGTTTTGATACAGTCCTCATAATAACTGTCAACATTATGTCAATTTAGCTAAAGTTAATGGCATATTTAACAAAGGCGCACTTACTCATTTTCAGTACTATGCCATTGAAAAGGAAGGAGGAGGCAAAGCCTATTTTGAAATAAAGCTGCTTTTCACAGACACTGAACGTTTCTTAATTTTCCTTTTCAGCAATGCATCCTATAAGCCAGTAGATTACATAAGCATTACCCTCCCACTTCCTTAAGGCCATTCTTTCTGGTAAGTGGCAGTAACGAGCAAGTACATCATAATACAGATCCTCAGGTTGGTTCTTTATAGTTTTTGGCAACTTCAACAATACATACTTTTTATTTTTGACAAAACTTTGGAGGAACACATTGTGCGCTAGAAAGTAGTAAATAACGGTACTCATACCTAGTCAAAGCATCACTGCAGCAGATTTTCTAGGAAAGAGCACCTCCCACTCACAAAGGCTGGTTTCATCCCTTCCACAGTGTATTTTAGAGAAAATTCCTAGATACTATTTACAAGTAATCAAAGATGTTCCCAGCACATTCACGAAAAATAAAGAAACAACATTTAATAAACCAAGTAGAGGTCTAATCATTTCACTGACGCCATTCAAGTCTCCAGGAGGAAAAGAAACAGCATGCTTGTGTTTACTTTACATTAGATCATAAATATTCACCATCCACAACCAAAGGAACAGCCAAGTTGCTTCAGTACTTCCTAGAAAAGTGAAGCCACTTTAACAGAAATATCCACATAATCAAATGTGCTATGAACAAAAGCTTCCCATAAAGCATGTAGATCATCATATTCTTGACTTTTCTTAACTTTAAGGAGAAGGTTGGCATGAAATATATTCCCTTAAAAATCTTCTTGGGCTACGGAAATCTTGTATATCTGTTATATAAATCCCAGATATTTGTGAATCATAAATGAAAGACTACATGCTCCTCAAAATTAGGTTTCCTCTTCCTTCTAAACTTAAGTTATAACCCACAGCTATGCTTGGGCATCATGAGGCTTTAAAGGAGATTGCATTACCAACGGCAGGAAAACTACAGTAGTTTCACACAGTTAGTTTTGGACAAATCATTTTTCTTTCCTCTACATATTTATCATCATCTATTGCTGTTTAGACTTCTACAGTTTTTATACATGTAGTTATCTAGCAAAAGCTAAAAACAGTAAATTCATTCAAAGCACGCCAGAAACAAGAGTATCTTTCTGCCTATAAAAATAATCACTCAGCCAGTTTCAGATACATTATCATCACTTTAAGCACATCTGCTTATTGCAATGAAATATTAACAAATATTTCTTTGTTTCAGATTATTTTGAAATAATTCCCCCCCCATTTTTCATTACCTCCAATAATTGGGGTAATAAAAACGGACACATCAAGCAGCCATGCTAGTTGGAGATGTTACAGGAAGGGGGACAGAGAGAAGAGAATTTACTCTCAAACTCTGGACACCAAATGAGGCTACAATTTAAGTTAGCTCCCTGGGTCAACTCTGTAGAAACAGCACTTCCAGGGGGCCCATTGCTTCTTCCCTGATAGGGATGCCTGAAGTCAGGTAAGAGGAGAGTCATCCTGTGGGGCAAGCAGCCCCCTCAGCACTTGGTGCTCAGACTGATGCTCCCAATTGCCTTCCAGGCAAATGCAGAGGGGAAATACCAAACCCAGTAAGAACTTTTCCAAGCAGATTTTTTCACACCTCAGCTTCAATTTTCTGTTGAAGATATTCTGTAACATTTTCTTACAGTGTCTAAACTCCCTTTGATCCTCATTCCAGACTCACCACGGTCTGCCTGAGCACCACAGAACCCTCTGCCACAGCTGGCACAAAGTGCTCCCATCAAACGAGGAGAAAGATAAAACTGCTACTTAACTATCTCCAAATGAAGGACCTCCAGCAAACACAATGCCTTGACCCCTTCATCTGAGAAGAAGCCTTCTCCATATACACTTTTAACACTCCTACATGGTTCTCTAGGCAAACTATATTTTTCTATCTTAGTCAAAATTTCTATACTGCAAAGCTGAACTACGAATAGGTATTGATTCAATCCAAAGCAACACCTGAGGCCATTTTTTAATCAATGCTTAAAATCTATATCACACCACAGAATGGATTCACATCCATGTTACAGTAAGTGATCTAGACATGTTCTTACAAATCATTGACAGAGCAAGGGAAAAAAACACCTACGTCTTTTGCATTCCATCAAGCACTAGCACATATCTCCAAGCTGCTTTCGTGTTACTCGTGTCACACATGTGCATCCTTCGTCTCAACAACCACTGCTCACAGTCAAGTCCACAAGGGTACCAACCCCACAGAAATGACCAGTTCTAGTAGAACAAAATAATGACCTTTTTTTTTTTTTCTTAAAAAAAAAAGAGTAAATAAAAGATGTTTGAAATTATTTCAACTTGAACTGCAAACAGCTGCATAGGATTTCTCCATACAAATCTCTACACAAGGCCAAACTTCCTTAATAACCCCGGGGGGGGGGGGGCCAAGACAAGCCTCCACAGCACAACCCCTCCGGGCACAGCGCGAAGCCAAGCAGAGCAGCGGCTCCCACACCTGCTTCGTGGCACCTCACCCCACAACTTCGTCCATGCACAAGCCAAGGATGCAGCCTCCTTACCAAAGCTGCCAAAGTACCTCAATAGGTGAGGAGTCAAAAGTCCTTAAGGAAATACGACCCACTCAATTTTTCAGTAGTCTTTTGGTTTATGAGCATTAAAAAAAAATCTTTTTGTCAACATGCTCATGGATCTTGTTCACACTATAGTTTGACCATTACACCAGAAGCAAAGGCTGCTAGCAGAACGACCTGCAATAGTTACGATTGCCGAAAGAGATAATCAAGTAGCAACATGGCATTTGATGAACTGATCATTAAAAACATATACAAAATTTCGCCCCCCTCCACCTTTTAGGGGGGGATCTTCAGTTCTGATTAAGTTTAATAACGGTTTTCTGAACTCTTAACTACATTCTTTATCTTTTTAACCCTAATCTCAATATATCTCCTTCATAATGAATTGTTCCTTTTCCTAACAAACCATCAAACAAAATAGGTAGGCTTATAACTAGTCATCTGGAAAACGCACGGGCACAAAGCATGCAAATTCCAACAGAATCAAGCATTTGTAGTAAACAAGGAATCTAATTTGCACCAAAGAGCCACAAATGATTGACGATGCCATTAAGCAGAAACCACAGTTACATTTGAGTGTGCAGAGTTCGGGTTCTTCATAATAACATATTATTTCATTATATTTACACAGAAACTAGCCATCCTTATACCTGTGTGATACTAAAACTTGACATGCTGAATTAGAGCTCTTTTTGACCTGAAAACTGTATTAGAGCAAGTCTTCCATCGAAGTACACACAGATCAGGGAAATTTTCATCCACCAAAAGGCAAGAGAGGAGGAATCCAGCACCCTTCTGCTTTTTCAATCAACGTTAAATATATTCATTAAACAATTATTTGAGGAAAAGTTTAGGGCAGCATTCGGGGTCTGACATTAACTGTCAAGACCATATGATTTTAGGGCACAGAAGTACAAAGCAGTATAATGGATGCTTGAAAACAAAAAAATGAAAGCATAAGAGCTCTATCACCCCTGCCACTTCTCCTTATCACTTTATCCAAGAGGCTTAATTAAGCTCCTGCTTCATGCCCAGGCTCTCCTGAGAGCAGAGTCCTGCAGAAAGCAGAAACAAAGAAATTGATAGAAAAGAATGCCCAAGAGAAAGGCCGGATACCTTCCATTGCTGCCTTTGAAAGTATTCCTTTTCCTCTTCTTCTTCTTTTTTTTTTTCCTTCCCCCTTTTTTTTTAAGAAAGAAACTATTTAAATGCAAATAGCTGTATTAATGCAACATTCAGCTATATTATGCAAAACTCAGTAATGCAATTCAGAGTTACTGCTACCATAGATGTCATTCAGCCACACTCAACATACTAAGTAACATTGTATGGAGACTACAGTTCTGTTAAAGATGCGGCTTTTGTTGTAAAAAAGCGTTGTAAAACGCTTTTTTTTTTCTTGAGGACTCCTAGCTTTGAAAAAATTTACTCACCAAACCAGCAGAAAGTGAAGGTGCTGACTGCCCAAGTGCTTGGCTGCGCATGCGAACCAGATTAGAGGTTTCTGCAGGTTGCCACAGCTGCTGTACAACTGCACTAGGAAGCAGGTACCTGCCTGCCAAGTTAAGAAAGAGTACATTAAAATATTAGATATTACAGAGAAGGAAGTATAATGGACAAAGTTTACTAAAAGGTAAAGCTCTTATCTAAATTTTTCGTTTCTCAGACAGGCATCCACCATCTAAAACGCTGGTTTCTTTCACTATAACCCTGATCAGAGGGGATGCCATCACTACGGAATTTTTACTATCCACTTGCCAGCTATTCCACAGGCTAAGTGTTTCTTATGCGAGCTCACTTTATTTAATATTCTCACAGTTATATCTTCCCTCTGTCCTGAATCATAACTAATGCAACAACAGATGCAAACATCCAGAATGGTGGGTCTGAGCCAAAGAAATCAGGGAACATAAATTCCAAAGACTAGCAAAAAAAAAAAAAAGACTGTTTTTTTGTGTAAATGCATTATTGTAAACCTTAACCTTGTATGCAATACAGTTTATCTTTTTATCAAAGAACTACAATGAACCATATCCTCTCTAAGACCCATAGTCCTCGTATTCACTTAAAAATTCAGTTATCAAAGATGGCAATCTAGGCAGATTTTTAACACAGCCTTACTAGAGAGAGTTTCCCTTCTGTTTTAAGGGCAAGCATAGTCTCTTCAAAGACACCAAAATGCATTTGGTGAAGGGAGAAGCAGGCCCTGTGAAAAAGACATTGACTGCAGCAAACAAGCACACACTCTCTGGCCCTGATCCCATCCTTTCAGAAGGCAGGATCCTAACTGGATCAACTGGGAATGTCATGGGGCATGTGGAGATTGCTGCTGCCTGTTCCAGTGCCACACTGTGGGGAAATAAAGGAAGCTGGGAAGAGACTTTTCAAAGTGAGACATGACTTTTTGCACATGGATTACGAGTCTGTGGACCTCCTAGCTAAATGAGGACGAAAACTTCAAGGAGAGACTGCAAAAGTTCATAGAATAGGTAACTACTAGGGTGCTAGTTATGGAGAAACCACCTCTGGTCTGGGGAGGGCCAGATGTTGCAGAGCAGAAGCAAGGGGAGCAAGGGAAAGGTATCCAGAGGACAAGATGTAATGGCACTTTGTTTTTACTTGACTTTCGTCCACTGCCAGAGACAAGATACTGGGCTAGACACTGGTCTCATTGGGTGTGTTCTCCCTCAGCTCTTTGTTATCTCTGAAAACTCAAAGTGAGAATCGCACTATTCACGTAACTGACATCTTTTATCTGAAAAAAATCAACAGGCTGTTGCAGAGACTGCAAATGAAACCTCCAAAGAGACGGCTCTGCTTTTTCAAGGAACTCAGCAAGGGTGAGGAACACTCTTGTTTCAACTACACCATTTGCAGCATCGCCTTAGACTTCCTCCCACATCTTCTGCACATGCTTTGCTGGTACCTTTGCCACCCTTCCTGTGCTTGAAACCCCTGGGACAGACTGAAGTGCTCTGGTCACAACACTGTTTGGTACCAATATCATATCCTTCCATGTCAGGATGCAGACCTTGCTAGGCCACCACATATCAAAACACTTTAACAAAAGGTGACCTAAGCCCATTTCATAATGGTAATTACTTAACATTATTTAATGGCATTACATAATAGTAATATTGGTGGACATAGGGCACATATCACTGGAACGCAGGGTCATCTTCTCCTTGTATTTCCTTACCAAGTCAATCTTCCTTCATAATTAATATTTCTAGAAAACACCAAAGTAACCTAAGTCACTATTTCTTGTTACTAGTGTATCCAATAAGCATATAGTGTGGTATGCTTTGCTCTGCAAGAGGCCTAAAATGATACTTAAAAGCCACATACACTTCTGCAAAGATCAGTCACAAGAGGTGGCCTTTGCTTTATTCTCATTAACTATAAAAATCTTTTCTACTGCATTTGTCTAAAGCATTATTCTCCTTCCAAAGGCCAAACGCTAGTGGAGTCACTCGAAATAACTAAATAGAACAAAAATGAGATCTTAAATCTAATTCCTATAAATTTTTAAATTTCAGTTATAATTTGGGAGTTACTCGTCCTAAGTTTTCAGCAGTTTTATATTTAAAAATCGTATATAATTGAGAAAAACTTCTGGCAAACAAATGAAGTTTTTGGCACTACAAAAGTACTGAGCTCAGAGGACATTGTTGAGCGGTAAATTATAAGAAGAAATATAGGGGAAGCATCTTGAAACAGCAGAAAATGTTTTTTTGAGGAAAACGGTAAAGCAGGTCTCCATTTCACAATAAAAAGTGATAAACAGGCCGTCGTGTTGCTAAAATTCAAGCTGTCAGACTCACCTCAGGCCATTCTGTCCTTGGCGGGGAGAGAAGGGGCGAGAGAAACCCAAGAAATACTGATTTTATATCCTTGTTTTGCCAAATTGATTGTACTTACGTACGGCCTGCAGGCAGAGCATTTGAAAACGTTTCTGAAAATGAGATTCTCTCCCTTCCCTCACTGCTCAGGTGTGAGGAATGAAAGGCTCTTGCTCGGGAGCCGATGCTGGTGGCAACATAAGGGCGGAAGGGGGGGAATGAACGTTCTTTAAACAGCCTGTCCACCACACACAGCATTCAGATAAGTCAAGAATGACAGCTGAATCAACTTGCATTTCTTCTGATACTTTACGAGAAACATTTATTACAAGAAATCCTATTAAACTCAAATTTTCACTTTCTGATTTACCAAAAAAGACTATTAAAAATGCACTATATAGTTTTTGTTTTCTAAAAACAGTTAAATCGGCATCTAGTCATGTATGAAATAGATGCAGCCCATCAACAGAAAAATTAAGATTTATATATTGGAACTTTTGGGAGAGATTCTGGTATCAAAACAAATTTTAGCATAGGTCTATTGCATCAGTATGATTTCTATTCTATTTGTAACCTGGAGCTGAAAAAGGACACAATTAGAAACATGCAGGTTTCTACTTGCTGAAGTCTCTTCAACAAATCAAGCCTCATTAAAAACATGATTCAGAACAGCCTGTTTATAAGCCTATTACCAAAACCAAAGCACAGAGTTATTTCTCTTCAGGAACACTCAGACTAGCCCATCATTTCCCTAATTAGAAGAAATTACTCTCACTTTACTGCAACTGAGAGGCCCTGAAAAGGCAACACAGACCTTTGGTCATATCCCTCATACAAACTCCCTGCCTAGCAGACAGTCACTCAAGTTACACTGACATCTCAGCCAACTGTTTGCCATCAGTTAGTGCAGACCTAGAAGCAACTGAGTATCTGGTGAATGTCAGTGAATATCTAACTGACAAAAACCAAGCAGCTACATTCTGAAGTTATTACTTACAACTCCACCACCTCCCAAATCTACCGAAATACAACTCAGCAAAATAAACTGCAGGAGATATGTTAGTTATCAATGAGGTTAGAGATGGTTGTGTTCTGCTGCTCCTGTTCATCTTACCAACAGATAGAGCCTTCCTTTCATACCACTAACACAAACGCTCAAAGCTTACACACCACTCTTGCATTTTACAGCAAAACTCTAACTTAGATAGCCCTGCTTCTCCTTCACCTATGATGTACTCCAGGTTACACCTATGGTAGAAAAATTTTGGGGTACCGTCCTGATAAACTGTGATACCATTATCAAACAGGGGAGGGGAAGGAAGGCTTGGAAAAATGAAAGTTAAAAATTCAGATTAAGCATTCAAAGTCACCAAAACCACATTACAATGGATTAGGTCTAAGCAGCCACGAAGCAGTTGCATTTGCTCCTTCTGATAGAGTCAACTGTGCAAAAACAAAATCCTGCACACGAAGGGCTCAGTGAGGGCTCCCATCCTCAACACTGAGCACAGGCCCGTCGCAACCAGGCTGCGCATAGAAAACATCCCACCTAATTTCAGACTCCAGAAAATTCACCATTGCTCAGTTCAACCACTACATGAGCACTACTTCAGCTAGCAGTCAGTTCTCCTCTCTGCCAGCTCCTCAGCACCTATGTCTTCTCAGCTACCTGCTTCACAGGAAGTGCAGCAAGACGCAAAGCAGTTTTCCCCCACAGCCCTGCAAGAATATGCCCAGGGATGGCCACCTAGTGACAGGCACCCACTCGTGCCATTTCCACACAAGATCCCTATTTTCTGGCAAACATGCTGGAAAGACAGCTTTGCACCAAGCAGCTCAGGTGGCAGCAATGTGATGGCAACCTCGGTGCTCGGAGCTGGGCATGCAGGCGACCACACAGAAGCCTTCAGCCAAGCACAGGCGAGTTCCTCCCACGAGCCGCGGTGCACAGCGAAGCCCAGACAGAACCTCGACAGGTCCTGGGGAGCTCAAACCTTGGTATGGATATGCTTTTTCTTCCCACTTCATTTCTCCATTCTGACAAGTAGCTATTTAACCAGCTCTCAAGCTGCTGTTATAAAGCGTCCCTAAGTGGGTTAAACTCTACTTTCCCTCCCTTCACAACAGGCAACTTGCAAATTTACCTGCTAATTAGCCCCTCAACTGCCTCATGCACTTTGATCTCAACACCCATCAGCTTCGCCTCTTCTGATGATACAAGCACAATTAAGCAGCAGTGCAGGAGTTAAAAGCAAAGTAATGTGATGGGAATACGGTATCGTCTGTTCCCATCTCAGACTACATGATGAAGAATCCAGACATGTCAAAGAATATGGAAATTATCTTACTAGACAGACAAGGAAGGAGAATTAACTCTTAACTATACAGCTTGATTGAAGCCTCAAAGAACAACATGTAGGTGGTAATGACAAGTGAAACCTAGCATCCACCCAACCACTGCTGACCCAAGAATCCTTTAAAATGCATCTTTCATAGCAGAATGTATTTACTTCACTTGTAAAAGATGTTATTATACTGACTGCTTAAAAAAAGTATTTTTCAGATACGTAATTATGTAACAGACTGCTTCCAGCTCTTGCTATTAATATTGGAAGGCATTTAACATGTGGTAAGAACACCTGGAGGAACAATCTGAGGAAGGCACTGAAAATCCTCTACAGTGTTCAAGAAGTACATGGCGATTTCAAGCGAA